AAACGGGCCACGGACCGCGCGCGATCTTTCCTTCCTCTTCCTTGTCACATACACTTTACGTCAAAATGCACTACACTACCACACATGCAGGGAGGCCGGTCGGGAGCTTAGAGCTTGTCCGGGCTGTGGCGGTGCCCCGCTGGTGGGAGATATCTGGTTGCGATTCCGAAATCTATTCTTTTACTGGAACCCAAACCCACTTCTGACTTGCTCCCTCCTGCCCTGCCCCGTGCCCCGCTCTGCGCAGAGCCTCAGAGGCATTGGCCTACTTCGGCTCTTCCCCCGACGCGGCGCGCAATCAGCCAGTCCCGGCCCATCACACACACACACACACACACACACACACACACACACACACCACACACACACCACACACACACACACACACACACACACGGCCCCGCCCCCCTTCGCTTATGCGGCAAAACGACATGACGTCACGCCGCATCGCGTCGCGTCGCTCACGGCCAGATCGTTGCCGGGGGTCGCCTAGAAACCGCACGCTCGGGGCTACAAGCTTCAACATAGAGGGCGGGAAACTCCGCTTACAACGTCACGAACGCAGCAACAATATCTTGCACTAAATGCTTCAGCGGAGGTTGGCAGATGCGCAGGGCAGGAATATACTATTTTTTCCTTCAATAGAAAACGCAATTCGTTTGGTTACATTTTAATGTTGGGGCTTTAGGTGTATTATATGAGAATGTTGCTAAAAATACGCATCACGTTTCTCACAGTTGTGATCTGCAAATATAATTCTAAAAATACACCACTTGATTTGCAAAAATCTGGCGAGTTACGCATGTAATGGAATAAGGTTTTAAGTGATTCCACATAAAATATATGATTATAAATTTCTATGAACAATTGTTTAAAATGTTTGAGAGCAGATTAGATTAGAAAATATAGAAATCTCATTTTCTTTAGGTGATGCGATTATTTTGATCGTTACAGCACTACCAAAAATTAGGTTTTTAGCGTAGAGCTAAATAATATGAAGTATTTTCAATTACAACCCCCGCAAGATGACATGCTCATTCAGCCCTTTAAAAATAAATTAAAAAAATTCCAAGGTGTTCTCTCTAGTTTCCTTTTCAATGGTGGAATTTAATCGGATATATATTTTTTGTATTGTAATTAAATATAATCTGCGAAAACGAAATGTTTTCACAAATTGAGCGGTTTTCACCTTTTTAATGTATTATGTTTTCACGTTTTTTGAAAACTGTAAAGCACAAAATATTTCAAATCGAAATGTCTTGTTTATGCTTGTATCGTCTGAGACAGTTTCAATTTTCACAGATCGTCATATAAAATTGTAGTCGGTAAATTTGTAATTTCTTAGGCCCTTTGCGGTTTATGCTTGGCCGCACTGCTGGGAAATAAGCAATTTCATAATTTCTTGCATCATAATTTGAATTAACTATGACGAAAAGAAATCCAATTATAATTTAAACGTCAAGAATAGTATTACAATCCTGTCTATCCTGTTTAACCACTGTATTTCAAATTTGCTACGCACCTCTTTATTACAGTTACTAAACGGTCATGAAGTTAGCCATATGAGCTTCTTTCACATGTTATGAGATGTACGAGGGTTCATTTCCTTA